CTTTCTCATATAAATATCTCCCTGTACTTTATTCCATTAACTTGCACACATCGCTTCAGCCAATTGTATTCGATTTCCGTAACATTTTTGTGTTCGTGGCATTCCGTGAACTATATTTCCTGACCTCGTGCACTTAGCTAGGATTTGTTTGTAAACAACTTATTACGTATGCTATTTACTTAAGGTTTATATCACCGTTTCCTTATGCATTAATCGAGTTTTTCTCTTTTTTTCTCTCTCTCTCAAGTGTTTGGCTGTTGTTTGATATCCCCGGTGTGGCTGCGCTTGATGTGCATGTTGACAAGGTGCCTACCTGTCTATTACCCACTACCTCGTCCATACTGGCTCCAGGAGACAGTTGGTCGTTGCTGGATGGGGCAGGGTGCACGGTCCTTGTGGTCGTGTTAGGATCAAAGAGTGGTTCCATGCAGTCAGTGTGGAGCGGACTACGGTCCAGCCACCGCCTTGTGTGCGGTTGATTCCCCAAATACAGCGTGCTTGTGTTTGCCTGTGAAGGAGTGTGGGCCGGCTCCGTTGATGAAACGTGGTTCCCATCCGCATGCCTCCCTGTCTTATTCCTTCGGGTTTACACTGGATATGGGGTATGTGGTTGGAGCTGTGGGTGGTGCAGCGCAAGCCATCCATGGTCCCTCTGTAGGCGCAGGCGTCCTGTGGCTTGCCACAGTGACAGGCAAATCCGAAACCGGATGCCGCCAACCATTTCCTTCATGTATTGCGGCACAATAGCGGAGGTGTTTTCCCACCTCTACCTGACCTGTATAGTGCTAATGATGAACTGGGAACGGGCGGACAACGGTGAGCGTCTTCTGCAACTGTGTGCGGAGCACCAGGTCTTTCTTAGCAGCACTGCTTTTAGACACAGTGGGCGCCGAAGTGCCACTTGGCGTCCTTTTGTAGCTGGCCAGTGATGGACCCAAATTGACCACATAGCCATAGGTTATAGGTGGTGTGATTCTATCCTGGATTGTCGCTGATACTGCAGTACATGTGTCTACTCTGATCATGCCTTGGTACGCTGTCGTTTCTCCATGAACTTTACCGGGAGGCGCGCCAAGTGTCTCCTACGATTAGCAACGGAGAAATTGTCTCAGTCTTCGGTCAGGGGCAAGCCTATCAAGAAGCACTGTATACCGCACTTCCGCTGTCTTGTCCTAATGACACTGAGCTTCAGTGGAATAGGGTCTCGGCCGCCATGCACGACGCAGGGGCATCTGCTTGTGGCACTATCCATCGTCACCGCACCAGTCACTGGATATCCGAGAGGTCGGTGAATCTGTTGGAATCTAGTAGACACCTCCCGGCTGGCTCTGAGCACAATGTGACTAGACGGGCTGTTAGGCGTGAACTAAAGCAGAGCCTACGTGCTGACAAGGAAGCTAGGTGCATCAGTCGGTCTCAAGAAATGGAGGAAGCAGGAGCAGTAGGTAGTTACCGCAAGCTCTTCCAGCTAATCCGCACCACTGGTCCCAGAAAACCAGGCGTCAGTGAGACAATCAGAGACAGCGCGGGTGCGCTGATATACATTAAGGAGCGCCGTATGGCTCGTTGGGCGGAAAACTTTCAAGATCAGTTCAGCTGACCCCTGCTTCCGGACCTCTTCCTACTCAGGTGATGCAGGACGAGCCATGGACTGTTAGTTTAGAGCCTCTGTCGGAGGCCGTGATCCGAAACGCGATCACAGCCCTTATTCGTTTTCGTGACGCTGGCCCGGATTCCCTCCCATCTGCACCATTTAAGGATGGAGGTGAGGTCCTCTGCAAAGCACTGACCTCCTTATTCGAATGTATCTGGAAGTAAGTATCCCAGCTAATTGGAGCGAATCGATTATAGTGGCAATATACAAGAAAGGCAGTCGCACAGACTTTTCTAACCACAGGCGTATTAGCCTAACGCCAGTTGTGACAAAATTGATGGCTTCGATTCTCGTTCGTCACCTCATTGCGGAACGGGAATCTCGGAGAAAGGAAGAGCAGGCCGGTTTCCGCCCAGGACGTGGCTGTATAGCCATATATTCACTTTGCGACAGGTGCTAGAGCAGCGCCACGCATACCACAGATCGACAATAGCTGTGTTCCACGATTTCAAGAGTGCATTCGTTTCAGTCGATCGATTGATTCTGTTCGAAATACTTGCGCGGAAAGGTGTTCCCACGAAATATATGAGCATCCTTCATGCTCTATACTCGAACACTACAGGCCGCGTCAGGGTCTTCGGTGGCCTATCGGATAGCTTCCCGACCACAAGTGGCGTTCGTCAGGGTTGTCCGATTTCCCCATTTTTGTTCAATTTCGTCGTGGATTGTATCATGGGGTGTTCCCTTGCGGAATCTCAAGATGTAGGCGTTGAAGTGCTGCATGGTGAAAACTTAGTTGATCTAGATTATGCGGACGATATCATCTTGCTTTTCGACGATGTAGGGGCGGTACAATCAAGCCTGAATATTTTGTCCAGAGTGGTCCCATTATTTGGTATGCACTTCGCACCTTCAAAGTGCAAAATGTTGCTGCAGGACCACCAGCCACTTGATGACCCCTTGACGCTTGCTAACAAGGAACTCGAGGTGGTTGACCATTTCATTTGGCAGCTGCATCAGCAATGATGGGCGCATAGAAACTGACGTCAGCTCACGCATTGCAAAAGCCAGAGCTACCTTCTTGAACCTGCGGCATCTTTGGCGACAGAAGGGAGTTTCCCTTCGTCTGAAAGACCGGGTATACAAGGCCACTGTGAGGGCCGTTCTGCTCTATGGTAGTGAGACTTGGCCCCTTCGGTCTGAAGATCTGAAGTACCTTCAAATCTGATCATCGTTGTCTGCGAAGCATTGCTGGTGTCGGGTGGCACCAGCGTGTCCGCAACGATGATGTGCGTAGGCGAGTACTAGGTAGCGATAATCATGCTAACTCCCTAGAACAACAGATGGCACTGAATAAGTTGCGTTTGCTCGGGCACGTGCTACGTATGCCTAGTCACCGCTTAAGTAGGAGGGCCTTGTTTAGTCTGCCAGGTGTAGGGTGGCGCAAAGCTCGAGGTGGACAGAAGTTGACTTGGCATCGGGAAATGAAGTCACTGACGACCAAACTGGGTGCCGTTGGTCCGTCTCACCTTCCGGGCTGGAGTGCACGTGACTCGCCTTGTGCTTGGCTCGAGACTTTACAGGACACGGCTAGCAACGGACACCGGTGGCGCGTTTGCTGCCATCTCCTAGTCGGATTGCCGGTTTAAAGTGTGTTTGGTGCTGAGTTATCTGCGGGGTAATGGCTGATTCTGACGCGTGGCAGTGAAAGCCGCAAGGAAGCTGTCTCGCTGATGCCATCTTGTCTTTGCACGATAACCAACTGTTTGTGACGATATGTTGTCTACACAAGGTGTAGGCGCCTTGATCCTCAAAGTTTGCTTAGGGCATTAAGGTTTTCAGGTAAGTCCCTTTTCATATTCTTTATTTCATAGGTCCTCGTGGTTGTATGCCAGCGAAGCATCAGTTCAAAAGGCTGATGTACTGCTGTTGATGATGATGCTGAGTGCTTTAAACACCCTTCATCCATCATCTCCCTAGGTTTTAAGCACTCACGGTGACGATTGACATGTCTAGCATAATCAACGAAATCGTCCGTCGCGGGCTTCGTACAGTTGTAACGGATACTATATTGTGAAGACTGCTCACCAAGAATGTCCTTTAACAAAGGTACAAGTTGATCCAAGTGTAATCTTTGGAGCACTTGGGAAGAATGCAACTGTGATACTTGTCGTGCTCTCTCGCTCCCAAATTTCGCAGAAGCAGTCTGCATTTCCATCCATCATCGCCATCAAAAAATTCAGACCGGAAAATATCTTCGTATCTTCTGAACCATGACTCGAAGTTAGCGTCGGCATCTGGGTCATATTGAACTACGCAAATACTGTTCGACACGACATCCGCTGAAATTTGCTGCTTTCCAGTGCTCGGTCTTGTCTGCTACACGACTAGGTGCGGCAGATTTTCGATCAATCTTGCTTGACTTTCTTCAAATTACTTTTACTGATGCTGGAAGATGGTGACCAATTCTTTCACTGAAACCGACATGATTGGGTTCTTCAATCGAAAAAACCTCTATCGCCAGTTGTTATGTCCACCGCTTCACTCCAATTGGTTTTGCGAACCGTCGACTTCTGCGTTGCTATAGTCACAGTTTCACTCCGATTGGCTGTTCGACCCCGGCCCCGGATTGACTGGCAAAACAAACTGTTGCGGACCTGACGTACCTTGTAATTGCCGAGCGACAAGACGAGACGCAGGTTTACATTGATAGATATTGGGCGACCTTATTGAATGTTCTTTGTTCATTTTCCTTCCTTACTCGCCAATAATAGTATCAGAATCTTCAGGAACTTCTTTTCATTGATAAACGTAACAGAAGAAATCTTGACAGAATCAGTTGGTTGGTGTTGAAAACAAGCGCCACCGGTCGATTCGTTAGGTACCCCTCCTAACATAATGGCTGGTTATGACGCCGGGTAGTGAAAGCCGCAAGGAAGCTGTCTCGCCCATGCCGCTTTATCTTTCTACGATAGCCAGCTGTTTGTGACGGTATGTTGCTAACACAAAGCGCCCTGACCCTGAACGTTTGCTTAAGGCAATAAGCTTTATGGTAAGTCTCCGTTCTTTCCCTCTTACTATTGTTCGTTCCGTAGGATGTTTTGTTTGTATGGTAGCGAAGCATCAGTTCAAATGGCTGATATATTGCTGTTAATGATTGATTTGATTGAATGTGAAGTTGCCCTTAATGGGCGTAGTCAATGTTTACGAGTATTTTGTTGGTATCACTAAACGAACTAACACCCCTTGATACCTGATTTTGTTGCATTTTTGGTTGTTATTTTAGATCATATTTACGTCCAGCTTTTCATTCTTTGCTTCCATTCCCGCTGTACTATATCACCCATGCTTTTCAATCAGTTCATAATATTCGCTTTCTAGGCTTGATCTATACTTGGAGATCTGAATGATGTCTTCTCACTCCGAACTCATCGTTCATCATCACGCGGTAACGCGCGACTATATTTCACAACCTCGCTTGAGTAAGTCCTTTCTTGTTTTAACCTGTTGTATTTCCCAAAATTCATCTCGACATTTTACATCAAATTTCCTGCTATACTCACCACTGATATGCATACTTTCGCCCAATTTCCACCTTTTGTTTGGCAGTTCTAATGCACCCCCTGACACCTGGTGCTAATGTCCATTTTGTGTACTTTTCCGTCTGGCGCATTATCAGTTCGCGGTTTTATTTGAAATAGACATCGGACGGCTGCTTTTACGGTTCTGAATACATCGACAACACCATAAGGAATGGCACACAAACAGGCTTCTTACTTCTTGGACGTTTCTTTATGGTACCTGCGGACTCATCTTTGTTTGTGCTTGTTAAATCTTTTCGCTTGCTGCAAATCCGAAACTTGCACTTAATCTATTTCACGCGACCATAAACCCAAACAAAGAAAAATTCAAAATGGCCTTGTCTAATATGACGTGTTAACCGCAGTCAAACTGGAGCTGTACAAAAGCAGCAAACCATGGTCATATTTATAGATCGCCTCATGACTTTCGGTTTCTAGACTTAGGTCAGTTACCAAGCTAGTTGTTTCCCATAAATTTAACCGCTCTTCAGGAGGTTGCTGGTCACGTGCAGGTTTTTGGAACATTCCAGAACGTTCGAAATCGATGCGATACTCGTTAGCAATCGATTACTCGCTAAAATAATTGATTTTCCATGTAATTCTTACTTTCTCCTGAACACTGCCATAGATAGGTTCTACGGTGTATGAAGAAAGCCTGTGATTGACTTGCAATCTCCTGGACCGTGTTCGAATTCTGTCGGTCCATCGCCTCGGCTGAAGTGCGCGAGAAACAGGTCCCGGGGTCTGTCATGCACTTTCGTTGTTCGAATGCTAGTCCTCATCCATAGGCTCCTTTGGCAGGTTGAAGCTCTCTACAAACAAGCCAAACAGAAGCTCGGCAGGCCTTACTTTTTCTTGCTGGCCGTAACTCATTTGTACGGCGAACGCAGGTCTGCGTCCCCACGATCACTTCATTCATCACATTCCCGCGCTTGCCTTTGATCGTACCAGGTGTCCAACTTGCGTGACTTGCCCGATAGTCCCACACTAGCATTATCTGCTCTGCCATAAACGATCGTCGCTTACCTTTATGCCACCGGTTCAAATCCAATTCTATTCTGCTGTTCCTTACGTCAACAGTGGGCCTCATACTTGATCAAATGACATACGCAGCTTTCTGTTCATCATGGGCTGTGCTTGCGAAACTCCACCCGGCACTTGTCGATTTGGGGTTAATCAGTATAGGAAGTGGAATCGGTAAATCACCTCTATACGTCCATCTCCCTTCAATTTGAGGAGAGCTCGCTTGAAAGTATCCACGAATCTCTGCCTGTCCATTCGATTGTGAGTGAAACGGTGGTGAGCGGATGTGCTGGACGGCGCATTGTCTGGAGAAATCCGTGCGAACGGCTTAGGCGAACTATGTGCCGTTATCAGTTACAAGTGTCTCTGGACAGCCGAACCCGGTGAAGATTTGGCGTAGTTTTTTTTACGGTGACTTGGCCATTAGTGACTTCAGGCCATTTGCTGTAAGAGTCGACAGCAATGCGAAAACTTCGGTCGTTGATCGGTCCTGCGTAATCGACGTAGACACGGCATCATGATCTCGTTGGTTTCGGCCATGAATGGAGTTCCGACTTTACTGGTGCCCTTGAAGCAGCAGTGCAGTTGTGGCAACTTCTAGTTATTTCTTCCAGTTGTCTGTCCATGAATGACCAATACACAAAGCTTCGGGCAAGCGCCTTCATCCGGTTGACCCCAGGATGTCCTGCGTGGAACTGCATAAGTACGAGCTCTTGTTGTGCCTTGGGGATGACAACTCGTTCCGAGAACAATATGCACTTGTCCACGATGGAGATTGCACGTCCCCTTTAGTAGTACTGTTGCATTTCGGCTGATTAACTTGTGCGTGACCAACTCGTCCTGTTAAATTGTGCGACTATTTTAAGTACTGAGTCACGAAGCGTTTCTGATCCTACGGCTTCTGCAGTTACTGCTAAATTAGGTAATGCGTCACAATAAATCTGACGTCCGGTTCAAGCTCAACTGAGGCTATGATCTTGTCTTCTTCATCTTGCTGATGGGTGTCTATGAAGTGTGAGTGCGACCGCTTGGCTCATGAAAGCGGTTGTTTGGTACCTGATCTCAAAATCATAGCTCAACAAAGGGAGTGCCTAGTATTGGAAACGGCTAGCCGTTTAGGCAGGGAGGCCCTTCTTCGAGCCGAAGATAGCCAGCAATGGTCTGTGATCAGTCAGTCAGTACGCATCTCCAATCAGGGTATATACCCGCATCGACTGTGTGCGCCTGTCTGTCGATTACCCATTCACGATTGGTTGGTTTCAGTTACTTGGTCGATGCTCTGCACCCCTTCTGGTAAGAATACACATTTGCGCGCGGCCAGCTAGAGGTGTTCTGTAGTCATTGCGTCGAGCGGCTAGGAGCCATTATTGTTGTAGACTATCGTTACTTCCGCATGTGTAGACTAACATTGGCGATGGCTTCTATATCTGGAACTATTCGTTACGAGTCAACTTATTCCGCTGGATCTGTTTTGGAAAGAAGCGGCTTCTAAGCCCTCATATGCAGTTTGGACTCGATAAAAGAGAACATTCTGTGACTACCTTGAACTCTTCGTAAGTACAAATCCTCACATCACTATTACTGAACAACAATCTGTTTAACCGTTGAGACAACACTTGGGTGCGGAGGGTCAGAGACATTTCGATGCTTTACGGTTGTAGGTAAGCACTACCTTCTCACCTTATCTGAAATCTTTAGATTGGGTTTACAACATGTGTTTTCTGCACGATTAAATTTTTTCCAACTACGGCAGGGAGACAAAGAATATGTTAACAAATTTATTACCCGCATACATCAGCCCCTGCCTGCTTGCCGTTATAATGAGATTCCGTCCACGAAATTTGAAAGAGTCATGACTATTCAGTGTCTTCTAGTTGGCATTCGCGACAACAAGACACGAGAATGTCTACTTTTGGAAGGTGAGAACATGCTTACTTGGGAAGTTGCATGCACATTAGTGAAGCAAAGAGAAAATGTTCAACAATTAATTCACTACCAACATACTCCTCCTTCAGATGCAATCCACGCAGTCAAACCTCGATTGTCACCGAACAACAAACGCTCTGTCATGTGCTGCATGTGTGGCAAAAGACATGAAAGGGTAACTGGTTGTAGACACAAGCAATCCACTTGCCACAATTGCGGCAAGGTCAACGTGAAAGTGCCAACGTGAAAGTGTTAGCGAACTTAACCACCAATAGCTTAAGCAACTCGTGGAAGTCCAGGTAGACGTTAAGATGAGGTAAAAATGGTATACATTGAGACACGATGGTAAACCCACCACCTGGAATAAAGAAACTCAGCACGCAAGCACGCGGTTAGTAAATCGAATGCAGCGTACCTACCAACGCTGCGCCGGTTCTGTTTACGTTCTCAGCAGGACACGTCGTCGTTTCGATGCTGGTGCCGGGAGGCATCGCTCTTGGCTCACTAGACCTGCCTGACTCAGGCACTCGCGACCGCATGCGATACAGCACCATGCGCTCGACGTTGATAGAGTACACTTCATCGGCGGTTATCGCTTCCGCACCTGCCGCTTCTTCTCTCTCTTTTCCGCAAAATTATGCGCTCCACTGCATACACTCCACTTCGGCGCAACACCTCCATGTCTGCAACTTTGTCGCATCAACCGATTCGCAGAATCCTTCGCAAACACTATGGATGGAACCACTCGAGATATCGCACATCCCGCCGGTACATCGTTTATGTTTTGCCGCCGTATAGGAGAACGGACAGCGCCACGGATTTGTACACCATCAGCTTCGTGCCGACGGTTAGCTGGTGGTTGTTCTACACTCGGTACTCAAGCTTCCCGAATGCCGCCGCTGCCTTCCATACTCGGGCATGCAGCCCACTGTGTAGCTGCTGGTTAGTCGAAACCACACTCCAATGGGAGCGGAAGCGGGAGTTGATGTCCACTACTTCGTTACCATTGCTGATTTTCGGCAATATTGCAGATTGCACCTCGCTTGAAGGCTGAAAGAGACAGGCAATTTTGCTTGTGTTGATGGTGAGCCCGAATTTGGCCGCTGTCGAAGACAGAGCACTATTCATGTGCTGCAACTCACCTGCGCTGTGTGCAACCAACGCACAGTCGTCAGCAAACAGCAACATACGGTTAGTAGTTTCACAGCCTAGGGTTCTCGCACCGAAACGACGGATGTTCAGCAACCCACCATCAGTACTGTGCTCCACACACCGTAAGCACAAGCGGTATCAAACGCACAAGACATCATGGCATAAAGATAAATATTAAACTGGGTAGGAGCTAAGACATGGCGTTGCTTCACACCAGAGACAGCTGCAAAGTCATCCGAGGTCTTTGCACACGGCTGCACCCTCGCCTGCATACCACTGTGCAGACATTCATTTAAACTTACAAACTTACTCGTACGGCCAAACTTACCCAACATCAGCCACAATGCCTCACGGTTCACTGTATCAAATGCTTTGGTGAAATCAACAAACAGTGAGTACACTTCTTCTGCAACTGACGAACCGCAAACACCATATCTATAGTGCTGCGACCCGAACGGAATCCACATTGCTCTTCCGCCACGTTAGGTTCCACAATCTGACTGACGAGGCGATTGAGCAGTATTCGGGCAATCACCTTGCCCACACAACTCAACAAGTTGATGCCACGATAATTCGTGCAACATTGCTTGCTACCTTTGCCTTTGTACAGCGGTTGCACAAGGACATCCAGCTCAGAAGGCGCATCCTCCTCAATCCACACGCGTTGTACCAAGTGGTACATCGCAGTCGCCAACGCGGGTCCGCCGTGTTTCAATACTTCAGGTGGGATCCCGTCGGAGCTGGCACACTTGTCGTTTCGCAGCTGAGCAAGTGCTCTCTGCGTTTCATCCGCTGTCGTC